AGGGAGCGGCAGCGGCGGCGGCGGCGGCGGCATTGTGCGCGCACCAGCAGCCCGGCCCGGGAGGAGCAGGACGCGCCGGGGCCGCCTCCTCCCGCACGGACCCATGAACCAGCCGGGCGGCGCGGCGGCTCCGCAGGTACGACGGGGGGCCGGGGGCATGCACTGCGCGGGGGACCCCGGGGGGCCGGGGCCCCGGGCACTGCGCCACTTCATTGCAAGATTTGCAAAATGCAAAGTGCCTGGGCACATTTGCGGGCTTTTTGTGGGCGCAAACGGGAGGGTCGGCGTCTGGAGAGCCCCCCCGGGTGGCGCGGGGTGTGAGGAGGGTGGGGGAGACGAAGGGGTCTTTTTGGACCCCGAACTCAGCGCCCTCACCGGCCCCGGGCTCAGACCAGAGCCCAGAAAACAAAGCGGTGAGAGAACAGAGCAGCCATTTCAGTTTGGACAATTCACATTTTGCAAAAATGCAACCCCTTCCAGTTCTCCCCCCTCCCCCCCAAATTTGCAATTTCCCCCTGACCCTCTCTGCGCTCGGTGTTCCTGGTGACCCCCGGGGAGGTCTTTCCCCCCCTAGACCCCATCTTTGCAACAATCTTTTTTTTTTTAGGCCATATTTCCCTTTCTCAATTTTTTTTTCTAATTTTTCTTCAAACGGTAGTTTTTTCCCATTAAAACGACGCCACCTAGAGGATACTATTTTGTAAATAAAAAAAGAAATTAAAATTGAAAAGAAATATTTTTTATTTCTTATTTTTTCAAAAGTTTGCACCATAAGGCAGTGGAGGGGAAAGGGATTCTTTTTTTTTCCTTTTTGGGGTGAAAAATTTCACTTTGATCTTTCCAGGAGCATGGAGACAATTTCTGTTTCTGAAGCCAAATCCAGATAATATGTAAATGAAAATTAAGCTGGAATTTGAATGAATTCAGTTTTTGAAGGGGAGAAAGCAAAAGCCTCCTAATACCAAAGTCAGTTTGGCTGCCCAACTCATTTTAGTTTGAGAAAAAAACTAATTGGAATGAGGAAAGGAGGGAAATTGTTGAGTTTTGGGAAAACTGGGAGAATTGGCTTTATGAAGCAATTAGAAATTGTACTTCATTGTAAATTGGGACTTGTTTAGCTCAGCGGGCAAAAAAGACTAATTTCAACATTTGGCAATATTTAAATTTTTCTATTTCCAAGAAAGAAGGATTTAAAATAGAAAATAGACCCTAAAATGTTGGCTTTGGACACACCCAGAAATTGTAGGTTTTTTTTTTTTTTTAATTTTACATTTACATTTTACTGCATTTAAATCCCAAGATTCTAAAGCAAAGGAAACTGGAAAAGTTAGAGTGAAATCCTCTCTTTTTTCCCCTGCGTTTGTTGGGTTTTGTGTTATTTTGTTTTGATGGAATAATTAAGACTGTTTTCTGATTTTGTTTTCTGAAAGGTCTAGGCATTTCTTTTTTTGTTGTTTTATCCAGAAAACGTCAGGAGCCGTTTTTTGAGAAATATTCGGTGGAAAAAAAATGTAAATTCATTACATTATACAAATTGAGTAGCCCACAGATTTGTAAGAGAGACCACCATTAAAATAAGATATGCATAATTAACATTATTATGAAAAAACTAACAGTGGATTCACAGAAGCTCATTTTTTATGACGTGCAACTGAATCAATTGATAAAGACAAGGGTTGAGGAATCCTTGGAGGAAGAAAATTTGCCCTTCTCTGTGGTTGCTGACTCTTCCAATTTAAAAAATTTATTATTAAAAAAAATCTAGATTGGTTTCAAGGCCTCTTTGATTGTGATATGGGTTTAGTAGTTCATTAACATTTAGTATTTTTCACAAATTTGATTACTTTCAAAAGGGGAAAAAATCCATTAGCCTTGATTATTTTGTGGGGGGAGGGGTTTCTATGATTTAAAAAGAACACAGATTTTACTGACTTAACAAGAAAGAAAGATAAAAAGGGAAGGACAGAGAGGAGATGAAAATTCTGATTCTTATCCATCTTCCCTAGTGGAACACTTGGCTGAAAAAATGGGGTAAAACACCAATTCAGCTGATTCTAGCATCAAAATTAAAATTTTTTTATTTTAAAGAAAAAAAATCAAACTACAAACAAAAGCCAAACCCAAAGATACTTGCCTTTGGAACATGAAAGCACATGTGCAAACAGCATTTGATGTAGTTTTTTTGGCCTTAAAATGAATCAAATGAAGGTGAAAAAAAAATTTTTTTTTGAAGACAAATATTGACTGAATTAAAATTTAAGAGATGAAAATAAGGTACCCACCCAAAGTTGAAGGGTTATATGTGATGAATTACTATCTGATTGAATTGGTGGGGATTTTGAAACAAAAACAAAAAAAGTTCTAATTTTTCTATCCAGAAGGGGGGAATATTGTTAGCATTTGCAGGGAGGAATCGGGGTGGCAGCTTGGGTGGGGAGCTGATGGGGTCATACAGGGCTGGGACAGGAAACCCTGTGCCTCTTCGCCAGCCACCAGCTGGTCTTGGAAGAAATGGTGGCCCCAGTCGATGGATTTCCAACCCCGTTTTGTGGAAATTCAGATTTCTAAGGGGCTACGAATTTTGTGAAATATCTTTGACAGTGGCAGAGGTTCGACATTTCCCATTAATCGCCATTGCATTTGGAAGATTTTATTTTTTTAGTAACAAAATCCTCAGGGCTGACTAGCCACATTCTGACATATTTGGAAGGAGCTTTTTTTTTTTTTTTTTTCCAAGTAGCATAATTAAGAAAATTTTTTTCCTGTTGAATTATTTAGGCCGATGCCTAGGACGGTCAAAGAATTTATAATTTCCAAGGGCTCTGGAGGCCTCATGAGACAGTAGGCTTGAGTTTAGCAAGAGATGGAGGAGAGCTGTGTCCTGGGCTGGGGAGGGGTAGGTGGGCACTCCTACCAGGCATCTGAGAAAAAGTCAGGATTGTAGATAACAGGTTATTTCTGGTGCAAGGAATAAAAATATTGCAGCACGTCCCTTTGTGTGTCCTGGCTCTCCTGACACACAACTCAGATTCTTTCATTCCATTTTGCTGAAATTTTGTTGTTAGGTCTATGTTTTAAAGGGAACCCCTGGCTAGAAATTGAAAATCATTTCTGTTTTGTAGACCTGTTTTTCCATTTTTTTAAAAAATGTTGTTTATTCTGATCATGTTTGTTGTAAAGGAAATAGAGGTGCATGATGGTACTGTTGGGGGTGGGGTCAGTTTTCTTTTGTTTCTATTGGCGTCTCTCAGGATTGAGATCTGACCTGGCTGGGCCTTGCCTCTCTCACCTACTATTTTAGATGGAAGTGTGACCAGAAATGGATATATGAGCTAATTTTTATTAGCCCGTGTCTGCTCACCACACTCTCTTATAATATTGGGCAAAAAAATCTGGCAAATTGGACTTGAGGGGTGGTAATTTGATGATGGGCTGAGTTATTTTGGTGAAAGATCATTTATACTCAGTTTCACAGTGGAGACTCTTATTACTTAATGTTTTGCTTTTCTGCCTAAGGAGGTTTTTTTTTTCTAATAAGGTTTGAAATTTCAAGGGCCTGCTTTATAGCTTGACTTCGGACCAAGCAAGGAAAAAGGGTTTGCTTATACTTTAGCCCTGCACAGAGGTGAACTTGAACAAGGCCTCTTGCTTTTGCAGAAGGAAAGCAACAAAGATGGCTGGTCAGTGGAAGGCTGACCTCTCCCCGGTCCTAGAAAATAAACAGCTAATGGTTTGTTTCATTTCAGAGACAGAGTATAAAAACTCCCCCATTGTCAGATACAGTTCCCCCCTACACCTTTGACCCAGCTCTAGGCATGCTGCTTCCTGTGACCTCAGAATCCTCATGTCTTCTTGGTGGGGTGATAAGAACTTCCTTGCTGTGTTCCACTGGATGTATAAGCTGACTTTTCATGGTCGTGGTGAAATTTTGAATTTTTCCCATGTTCTCGTAATGTTTTGTCTTAGTCCCTACTGATGTAAAGTGAAGTAGATTTGTGGGTACACCAGAATCCTAGCTTTCCCACAGTCTTGCAGTGTGACCTTGGACAAATCACTTTTTCCTTCGGAGACTCAGTTTTTGCATTTGTAAAATGAGAGCTTTCGATCAGAACAAGGATAATAATCGGTAGGTTTCACCTCTGATTCTGATGCCAGGTGATTGGCTGTTGCTGCCTGGATCACTGTGTTGAGAAGGATTCTGAGGCCACATCCATATACCCATATTCTGGAGAGAGGGATGCAGTAGTCAAATAGCAGTGTCAGTCACAGAATGGGGAGTGCGCCTCTTATTCACCGAACCCAGGCTAGGCTGTGTCATGACCCATGAGTGGGTTGTAAAATCAATTCAGTGGATGACAATCAGCATTAAAAAAAGAATAGAATACACTACAGGGGAACCCAAAACAGCAGAGGCATAGCATAGCATTGCAGGTAAGTGTTGTCTCATGAAACTTCTGTTTTATTTATACATGCTGATGTATGTGGATGATAAGACATGGAATTCCTACTGTGAGTCATGGTTAAAAAGAGTTTGAAAGGTACTGGACTAGATCCACAATGATGCTGCAAGTAGACTTTACTGCTTCTACTTTATTTTCTTATTTATTATCCTAGTTGACTTTTATGGGAACCCTGTGGGGTAGGTGTCCTGTGCCACATGTTTGTTCCCTGGTTGACCCTGCCTTCAGGGCCACCTGCGAAGAAGCCTCAGCTGTGTGGTGGTCAGGCTCCCACCTCAGTTTGTTGCCCTTGGATGAGACCTAAAGGACAGGTGCTAGAGGGAAGGTTGTGTCTTTGCTGGGTTTTATTGCTGGAAAGGAGATTTTAAGTAATACTGAATCTCTGACTTGGTGGGAGGGAGAGCTGTCAGTTACTTTTATTTCCCACTTTTACTTCAAATTGCAAGAGGAATTTTCCTGGAGTTAGAGAGTTCATGTTTGTGTCGTATTTAAATTTTAATTAGACTCTGTGTAAGTGTCTATATTTTTTTTGTGTGTGTGCACTTCCTAAACACTCCAGAATTGCTGTTCTGTCTCTTCATCTTTTAAATGTGTCAGACCAGTGCTGTCCAATAGAAGTACAATATAATTCGAGCCACAGATGTGAGCCACATATGTAATTTTAAGTTTTCTAGTA